TGTAGTATTATTCATTCATTCAATATATCAATAACATATTTTCTCCCGTGCCTTCTCACAATAACAACAAGGCGATTTATTCAAGCATATAAGAACTTTCAATTAATTTAACTTGAAAACTTTGCAGAAGTAATACAGGTAGGCTTTTAATTAGTTTTCCCTATCACTACCCACTTTATACACAGTCAGCAATTTCAAAGCCAGAAAAAGGATGCAAAATGACATAAAACCGAGTTTTTATGCATGATGTGGAATAAAACATAAAAGGGAGAAACGGACCAGAAGCTTGTAAGGAAGCTCCAGATTTCTTCATTGGTTCACCCACCGGATAATACTCTTTACTCGATTCCACGACTTGCTTAGCAGATGATAGAAGTGTGTCGACTTTCTCTTCACTAATATAACCGTCTTTGTTACTCTTTGAGACTTCCTCTACCAAAGTACTTTGGTTTAACAGACCACCAGATATCGTGGGACAAACATCGGTGAACTGAAATAGAAACTCAAAAAGAAAACCAACTGCCATGCTTGACCTGTAATCAGGGTGTGAAGTTCCATCTTCGGGTACCACTGCTTGTTTGACTAATTTAAGTGCTTCGGATAACACATTAACGTTTAATATCTTCCCAGTTATATATTCTTCTACTTTTTTGGCCCTTGTTGCTTGTTTTGTTCCATAAGCACCAAAAGCCAACTGGATATTGTTAATCAAGAACTGATTACAGTGGGGAGAAACATCAGCAAGGAAAGCAGCATTTACGTATGCCAATGCATTTCCAAGAGGTCGTGCTGCAGCTCGATAGGTTTCAAACAAATACTTCGAACAGGTTTCAAGAGAACTTCCATCCTTTTTAAATGGAATTAAAAGACTAAGTAGCACACTCCTTGAGTCTAGTGGCGGCCTCGCTAAGAACTCCACGAACGTAAGTTTTTCATGTCTTTGACTGGTCATTATGCAAACAGTAGCGCCCAAACCAAGAAATAATGTAGCTATATCTGAAGGAAAACCATTCTTTTGTGACATAACCAAATTTCCCCCAACACTAGCGGTGTTTCTAACAAATGGTGAAGCAATCTTCTCCATGTGCTGAACCAACTTTTCGCTAACCAGCTTTCCATATGAACTCAAAGCGACTTTGTTTTTATCCTTCAAGAATGATATAAGTTTAGAGATAGTGACAGTAGCCCCCAATTTAATTCCTGTGTGATCTAATTCAATGATCGAAAGTTCAGAGATATGTCTCAGATCAATATATCGGTCATGTCGCTGGGTTTCCTTGTAATATCCTGTGCCTGTGTTACCAACAACCAGCTTAATGCTTGCATCATTTTCAGCCAAATTGGAGTTCAACAAACTTTGAAGCTCGTCGACAGAAATAGGAGTGTACCAGGGATACCTTCTGGAGTCCAAACATGTGGCCGATTCACTTTTCAAGAATTGAGGAAATGTAGTTAAATTCTTACTTGGATCATAGGGAGGTAACTTACTCACTTTTATATCCCTAGAATCTTCTTTTTTCCAAAAAGAATTGAGCCCCAAATCCTCTATGTCAACATCGGCCGCAAATGTCTTGCACGCATCAGCAATGGGCCGGTATCCAGTACAACGACAAAGGTTCCCTGCTATGGCTTTTTCAGCTTCAGGTGCGGTCAACTTAGAGAATCCTGGTGGAGAATCCGTGTGGTTTGCTTTATCGGCATTGACAAGAGCCGAGTAAAAGGACATACAAATTCCGGGAGTGCAATATCCACATTGAGAAGCATGAAACCCCGCAAACCGTTCATGAATCGAGTGGTAACCATCCTTGGTGTTTCCAAGGCCTTCACTTGTAGTAATTGAGCAACCATTTAAACTGCAAAGAAGCGTAAGGCATGAACTCACACTAAAATCTTCAACCCGTTTAAGCGTCGGATCATATTTTGAGAGAAGAACAACACAAGCTCCACAACCGCCTGCAACCATTTATAGGAATTGAAGAGATCTTTTCAAACTAAAGTTCTCAATTATCTATACAAACATCATAAAAAGATTGAAGAGTTGAAAATCACCTTCAAAGACTTCTAATGAATAAAAGATTTTCTAGTCTAAACTTACCAAATTGCAGAACCAGAATTCCGTGTAACAAAGTATTGAACTGCGCTATTTTCTATAAGTAACAGAATGTATGAAGTCAGCCCGACAAAAAAGCAATAACTTAGCTAGCATTTCGGGAGAACCTAGTCATTTTGTTCCGTACATAACTATCTCTATAGAGCAAGGAGTAAAGTATTCATACTTAAAACTTCTTATCGACCTCAGGACAGCAAAAGTGCTTAATAACAGTAACTGAGAGTTATATTTGCATGTACAGAATGAGAACTTCATTTTCCTGGATCACCTCCTGTACAGGAAGAGCTAATGCTTGTCGGGTATTTTGTTTCGACACTGATTCACACTCCTAAAAAGAAGGAAGGGAGCTACATCTGCGGGAAGTTATGAGCATTACATTCATACACAACTTCCATAGTCTATGAGCAGTGACAATTGTCCTACGAACACCGTAATGACATTACACAGTTCAGGACCCATTCAGTGACTTTGGCATTGGATATTTGAACGTTCCCAAAATAGGGAGTATTAGGTAAATTTGATATATATGCACACTTAGAGATACCATGTTTTCAAGAAAAAGGCACAAAAAAAAAATGAACAAGGAGCCAACCTATCACAACAAAAATACCAATATAAAAAAGTTCAAAGCATTACCCCCAAAAAATACAAGAACAACAAACTCAGTGTAATACCACAAGTGGGGTCAGGGGAGCGTAATGTGTAAGCAGACCTTACCCATACCTCATGAAGATAGAGAGGTTGTTACCGGTTGACCCTCTGCTCAAGGAACAATTACCAAAAAACAAAACAAAAAGTTCAAAGCTTTTAGCATTTCTTTTGCAGTTGCACCAAAATAAACATATAGAGCACAACTTCACATAGCCCAATGGAACCCATTGTTCACATATTTACATGTATAAAATCTTTGAAATTTCAACAAATATTAACTTTTTGAACCCATAATTTCAAAATTCAACGAGTTCAATGCTAAGAATATAAATTAAAGGGTAACCCGTGCACTAAGCTCCCGCCATGCGCGGGTCCGCGGAAGGGTCGGACCACAAGAGACGCAGCCTTGCATTACTACAAGAGGTTGTTTTCAAGGGTCGAACCCGTGACTTCCTGGTCACATGACATCAACTTTACTAGTTATGTAAAGGCTCCCCTTCGCTAAGAATATAGATTGACGTCATCAAATTTAAATCATGAATCGTCTCTGTAAATATAAATAAAGGGAGAGGAAGGAGTATGACCTTCACCACAGCCAAGCTTGGGACTTTTGAAGCAAGTCTTAGTGCGCAAGAACTCAAGCAAAGAAGTTGAAGGGTCAATACTAGGAAGCTCAAATCTTTGTCCATTCACAGCAAATACCAAGATCCCATTTTTCACTGTCTCCTCCATTTTCCACTCTACAGAGAACTAAAATTGAGGTGTTGAAGTTCAAATTTTTGATTTGTGTTCTTTTGGCTGATAATTGTGCAGTAACCAATCTTGACTTCAATTGGGTGTTCAAGATTTTTTATTTTTAAGTGTCTCCTCCATTTTTCACTCTCCAAACAAGCTCAGAAGAGAACTAAAAATCAGATTTCAGACTACAAATTCTTGACTTTTTGTGTTCTTTTTGCTGAAAAACTGCACAACTAACCAATCTTGACTTCAATTGGGTGTTCAAGATTTTGCATTTTTCACTGTCTCCTCCATTTTTCACTCTCCAAACAAGCTAAGAAGAGAACTAAAAATGAGATTTCAGACTTCAAATTCTTGACTTTTTGTGTTCTTTTTGTGGAAAAATTGCACAACTAACCAATCTTGACTTCAATTGGATTTTTCAAGATTTTGCATTTTTCACTGTCTTCTCCATTCTTTACTCTCCAAATAAGATTCTTGGCTCAAACAATCCCTTTTAAATTTCATGTAATTATAAGCCAATTATTAAACTCTCCACCTCCACCCCCACCCCCCCTCTTCTTCTTTTTTTCTTTTTTTGGTTGGCTGCTAATGCAGAAGAATCTAAGGAAAGGGATTATTAAGAAAGGCCATTTACTTGAGAAAAGCTGACAAAATATGCGGTGAAAGCACCGACTAAGTACGGCTGAGGGAAAAGACAAATCAAGTTCTAAGACAATATACATTTTTTTGTTCCACAATTTTCTCTCTTTCCCTACTTCTTTTTATTTAGCATAAGAATTAAAGTAGATCGGTAATTTCAAGGATGATCTTTGACTTGTAATTCTTATTTTACTAAGTTAGTGAACTTTTTTTTTTTTTTGGTTCGTTTAAAAAATAATGATCTCTTTTTAAATTTGAAAACAATTTAGCTTAAACTTACAATTTTATCCTTAACGAGAAACTTTTATAATCATACAAATACTCTGGGTCCATTTTTAACTTGTTTAGGACCACAAATTTTAAAATTCTTCATTTTTTCTTAAACTCCGTACCCAGTCAAACAGGCTCACATAAATTGAAACAGAAGGAGTATATTAAAGTCATTAAATTATTTTTTATAATAAAAAATCACTTAATTTTATTTAAATATTCTAAATATATACTATTCTTTTTTCTTGAAAAAGCACTCAACTTTGCTTGAATATTATAGGAATTGTCTCATTTGCTTCCTCATAGTGACTTTTAATGATATTTGGGCAAAGTCAAATAATTGTTTTCATCACAAAAAGAAATCAGACAAAATTGAGTAATTTTTTTACTACAAAAAATAATTTAACGCGACATAAATATAACAAAAGTGAAAGTTGAATAACTATCCATAATATTAGCTTTCAAAAAAGGTAGTAAAAGGTTTTCTTTACCAATTAGAGAGTTAAAAGTTTAGGACAATCAATCAATCAATAAAACCATAAGACGTATACTATAAAAAGAAAAATCAGAATTAGCTATAAACTTCGTCGCTAATTTGTTGCTAAATCGCTCATAGCTAACAAAACTTGTTGATAATATATCGCTAAAAAGGATTAACGACGGATTCTTTTATTTAGTTCCAGAATTTATCTGGCACTAACTCCTATTTTTTAGTAATTAATAGAAAACCAACACTCGAATTAGCTTTAAAATTAGGCCGAGTTAATAAGAATTTGTCTGCATAGGTATGTGCAATTTTCATTTTGTTTTTATATAACGACATGCACTTATATAAACTAGACTAACTCAAGGGATGTTAATGGTTAGTGATAGCTTCGCTTGATTATAACTTATAAATACTCCTCGCTTGATTAATCGAATATAATTAGGAATAATAACACTGTAACCAAGGGTGAAGCTACAATATTGTGAAAATAGCATGGGCTAGCTAGTTTTCGGACTGGTAATTGGAACAATAGCCAGTATTTGTAAAGTCATTAAAAAATAGCCACTATTTTGCTGAAACACGGAAAGTTCCAGCATAATATACGGGATTACGGAGCTTCTGCATATAAACTTCCGGTATATTATGTTGGAACTCTACCACACGAAAAGTTTCAGCATAATATGCGGGATTATGGAGCTCATGCATATAAACTTCTCGCATATTATGTTGGAACTCCAGCATATTATAAAATTCCAGCACATTATGTTGGAAGCTCATATGTAAAGAATTCGAACTCCAACATAATAGATACTTCCGGAAGGGTGTTTTTGTTCAGATTTTATCAAAAATTGGCTAAATTTCGAATACTTTTGAAATTGTGGTTGGTTTTCAATTACCAGTTGTAATAATTTTTTCCTACGATATTACGTATGAGTTAAGATGAATTCAATAACTTTTGCTTAGACTATATATTTATATTAAGAAATTTATTAATGTGTATAAATATTTAACTGCAAATTTTGTAATTATCTAAAACGAGTTATGATTTCAATGCAAGTTCAGAATTCAATAAACTTTGAATATTGGCTCCGTTTTTTTAATGTGCAAATATGTTAAACATAAGGACAAGCTAAATTTGTTTTTAAATTAAATTAGAATAGGATGTAGAAACGAGACATGCAGTTCACATTGAATTATTCCAACTTCTCTGATAACAATTGAATATATTCTTAATAATGTTTTAAAGGAATCTATATCTCTTTCCCATGCACAAAGAATATGTAGTCAAAAGTTGACCAAAAGAAAGGCATAGAATTATATTTGTTTAAAGAATATTTAAATCGAAAGTTAACACAGAAAGCATCTCAAGAAAATACTTTCTGTGGATTTTCTTGTATATATATATAACCTACAAACTTCCATCCTTTCTATATCTCAACAAGAAGAAAAGCCTTAAAAGGAAATATATTACTAAAATCTGTCCAAAAAAAAGAAAAGAAACATAGAAAATGGATATAAAGAGAGTTGCAGCTGCTCAAGAATATGAAGATTTTGTGCCAACATCAATGATGGTTCAGGAAAAAGACTATGACACTCTTCTCTTTAATCTTTCAGGTGAATTCTTCTCAATTTTTTGTCCGGTAGCGGTAATGCCTTAAATCAAAGGGTGTCATCTGACTCTGTTTCGTCGAAATTTTTTACTATTTTATAGAAAATATTTTTCTAAAAGCAATATACATATACATATATATTATAGGACGACACCATGAAAAAAAATCATTGTATACTAACATGCCTTACAAGTTGAAATGTAACAATAGGCCGACATCAATTGCGCTAAATCCTAGTTGTCACACCCTTTGAGGTGCGGTTCTTCTTCGGAGTTTTTTTAAGTTTTTATTCCCTCCGTTCAAGAGCTCCCCACTTGGGTGACTCGAACTCACTACGTGAACACGGGATGCCTTGTGTACCGGGCTGCCTTGGTTGTCAATCGTAAACTCCCCCCTCCCCCCCCACAAGAAAATAAGGAAAAAGAATAATAAGAACAAATGGAGTGTGCAATATTACTAGGAAATTCCTGAATGGGAGAGTGATATTAACTTTTCTTGATAAATTATAGTTGACTCTAAAGTGAAAATTTTACTATATCGTCTGTATGAGATATTTTCAGAAAGAAGAAAATGAAGGCAAATTCCAAATTCAAAATTTATTATTCTCAGCATAAAATTCTCACAAAAATAAATATAATCAGATCAAATATTGAGAACTCATGTATGCTTAATTTCATTATTACATAGGATTGCTGTTACTTCATACTTTTCATAGCCAACCTTAAAATATGTTCTATCTTCAGGGAGATAATGATCCGTGGAATATGTGAAAATCTTGAAAATCTTGAACGCATAAAAATTAAATTTTGAGTAGTTTCCATGTATAATTGCCTCGTTGTTGTTAAAGGCTTGGTTAAAGTGCGTAAACCCTGAAACTCGGTGAAGCTCAGATTATGCGCTTCGCCTTGCTTAACTGGCACTTTACTGTAAGCGTGCTAATATATAAGGTGTGTGCACCTTCACATATGGTCCGTCTTTAAGAGCACAACATATAAAATAGCTTAATTATATTTTTTTAACTCTTTTGTCCAAATACTTATTGTTTTTATTTATAGTTAAATTTTCTAAAATAGCTTCTTTTTTTTGTTCTTTGGCGCTTTTTTCGCTAAAATCTACACTTTAATATCGCTCTGCGCTTAATAAAGCTCCAACATATCTCTCTAGTTTTGCGCTTTTCACTTTTGATATATTGTTTACCCTAAAAACGGATAACAATTGAATTTATATATGGTTTTAAGGACACGTAATTTCGCTTGGCATAAACTGAGAAAATATGTAAATTGATATTGAAAATTGATTGTAAAAAAAAATAAAGCAAACCAAGCAAGACGAGTAGCTTTGGCCCTCGAGACAGGTTACCTCGAACCAAATGAATGAGCATAATGAGATATAAAGTAACAAAGTATTGAGAGGTTAAAGAATAGTATATTGCTTTGAATTGTGTGAATATGATCTCTTTACAAATGATTAGCCCCTTTTATATAGTAGAGGAGTCTTACTTATGGTATAATTCTAAATACAGTAAAAAATCTCATGATTGTCTAATTAACCGGCCTCATCTTGATACGTGCCAAGATTTCTGCCGTGATCCTTGCTCGATCACAGATGTTTCGACTTACCGTTACTTGACTAGGTAAACCTCCTCCGATGTCGCTCGATCTGCAATCCGCTTGGTCTCGATCTTGATTGATCTCGTTCTTGACCGGTCTCTGAATTAAGGGCTCGGCAATCTAACTTCATACTGAGGCTCGATATAACCCGAGGCGGAACCGATGCCTATCATGATCCAGCCTCGATTAGTCATGAGAAGGGCAGGCCCGGTTCTGACCGTATGCATATATATATACTCTGAAATACCCTAACGAAATTGAAATTCTACAGGTTTCAAGAAAGAACAAGTGAAAGTTGAGTTGTGCAAAACAGGGAATCTGACAATTAGTGGACAAAGGCCAGTTAATAAATGGCAGAGGTTTCAGAAAGTCATTCCTGTTTCAGAAAATTGTGACAAAAGCAAAATCAGTGCTAGGTTTGTAAATAGAAATATTCTTTGTGTTAAATATCCAAAACTAATCATTTCAGAAGAAAAAAAGGATAAAAATTTGCCACCTTCAGCTACAAGCCAAAAGACCACTTTAAAGGTGAGTTTAGTTTTCAGGATAATATTTTCCTTATCATTTTTTGGTTTTTGGATTCTAGAAAATGTTTTCCAAGGAAAACATCGAAAGGGTGAAAATGACTTCCTCGCTTGTCGGCGGAAATCATTTTCCTTAAATTCTTACCATTATCTTGACTTTTAACTTCATATTACTTGCTCCAATTTCACTTTAACAAAGTATGTACGTAGTAATATTTTGGATTCAATAAATTCATCTAAAGGCTATATATATATATATATATATATAAAAGGTTTTCCGCTCACCAACTAAAATACATTTTTCGAAAAATATTTTCCACATAAAACATTGGTATTTTCGTGAAAAATTGTTTTCTTCGTACCAAAAACACACTAAGCGTCGTTTGGTTGGAAAATAAGTTATCTTATGATTAATTATTCCGGGATTAGTTATCCCGGGATTGTTATCCCACCCTCTCATAGGGATAGAATAACATTATAATCCCAGGATAACTAATCATCGGATTAATTATATCGTGATTTTATCTCAACCAAACGTGGAAAAACTCTTCTCAAATTTAATTTCGGAATTAATTATTCCTTATCCCTCGTATCAAAAGAAGACTAATAGAGACGAATTTACTAAGCAGGATAATGCTGAGAATGGTCCTACTAAAGAGCCAGTACTGAAAGAAGAACCAAAGAACATTATTCCAAAAACTAATGAACAAACAGAGGCCAAAAGTCTTCCCAAAAGCACTTCAGGAGATGGAAAAACAACTAGTTTATTCACTAAACCAGATGATCAATCGATAAATGATAAGGAATTGCCACAACAGGATCAAAATACCACTTCAATTGATGAGCCAAAGATTAATAATTCAAGAACCAGTGAACAAACAAGAGTTAAACCAGATAACGATAACAGCAACAACAATAACAATAACAACAGAGCCTCAGTTCCAAACAAGTTGGGGCCGGCTGGTGATTTGTTCGCAAAGCTGAAGATGCGAAAGGAAGTGATAAACATGACCCTGGTTGCTCTGTTGTTTCTTTGTGTCGGTCGTTGCGCCATCAATGTGATGAAGTCTCCCAAGAAAGCTAAAGAATGAGGCTAGCTTGTCTTCCTGGAAATTTAATTTCAAAGTTGGGATATTAGGCATTTCCTTTGGTGATAGAACTTATAAAGGTTTATTCAATGTAATCAATGAAATTGTTATGATTAGAACAACTGTCATTTGGATACCTGCAATCATGAAATATACTAGTCATTGATGTTTGGCTAAAATTTCATATTTTTGCATGTAATTTTCCTTGCATTATGTCTTGATCTCGTTAACTTTAGTATGAATATTTGTGACTCGAGCTTAATGATGATATTTATATGTGTAGGAATCAATTGGAAGTGATTTGGGGAGTTTGCATGCAAATTGACGTCAAAAAGGGAAGAATTTGGAGGAAGTATAAGTTTGGTGTCCAGGTTGGCGCTAGGCACCAACCAAAACGCCAAAGACAGAAGACCAAAAAGTTTGTTGTCCTGGTTGGCGCCAGGCGCCAAGCGAAACGACAAAGGGCGGATTTTGTCCTAATTCGACTGGGACTTGGGGATTTCAACCCTAAACGTCCCCAACATGTATAAAAGGGGTTCTAAACCTATTTTTGAGGAGGGGGGCATATTTTAGACGAATGAGCGAACATACTTTTGGACCAAGGGAGAGCACAGAGCCACCGTGGAGGCCGAAATTTATCAGATTCCATCTTTCTTCCATCAAACTTAGTAATCTTTACTTTTTTTAGATGATTTGTTGTTTGGCTACCATGTCTATGTGGAGCCAAACTTCGCTTCTAGGATTGTGGTTGTCATGAATATTGAATTTTATTAATTACATCACCGTTAACTCGAGTTAGAGAGAGTTTGTTTTTTAACCCGTGGCTCGGAAAAAAGATTTCGCGGTTAGGATATGAATATACCTAACAGTCTTGCTTAGTTGAATACCGTATTATATTCGTTCATGATATATTCAATACCATAGGAATATAAGGTTAATATATTATGGATAGACGAATAGTATTGTGGGAACATGTTATTTATATAAACGATTCGATCAACTAGCAACCATAGATAATTCGGATTAACAGATGTAATTACAAACTCAATAGGATTGATAAACCAATCACAACCCTGAAATCTATATCTCCCTTGGTTACGTGTTTAAATTCCGCAATAGTAGTTTAGTAGAAAAATAACATTTTTGATTATCTTGAACAGTAAATTGATTTTAGTTTGCTTAGTGAATGATTAATCTAAGTCTTTGTGGGTTCGACATCCGACTTTCGAGTCACTTTATTACTTGACGGCCACGTATACTTGTGCGTGTACTTGGGGAACCAACACTCCTTCTGTTCCAATTTATGTGAACTTGTTTGATTGGGCGCGAAGTTTAAGAAAAAATGAAGACTTTTGAATTTTGTGGTCCTAAATAAGTCAAAAGGGGGTCCAGAATATTTGTATGGTTATAAAAGCTTCTCATTAAGGGTAGAATTAAAAATTTAAGCTAAATAATTTTTAAATTTAGAAAAGGGTCAGTCTTTTTGGAACGGACTAAAAAAGAAATAGGTTCACATAAACTGGAACGGAGGGAGTAATAGAATACAGTGGATGATTGTTCTTAATGAAATTAATTACCTCTTCTGCGTCCATTGTGATTTCCAGGCCGGTGAATGTAGAGTCTTGGGCAAAGCTCATGACGTGGCACAGAGCTAATATTACCGTCAAGGTATTGGTGCGCCCGGAAGTGTAGCCAGAATTTCAACTTAATGAGTTCTGATTTTAGAACGACTATTTCAAGTGCTAATAATTGGGGTCTAAATTATTTCAAACACATACGCACTGTTTGATCAAAAGCTATTAAATTTAGCCAAACCAGTGTATAGGCTTCTACCTTCGCCCTGTTGGTAGCATAGAGGAAATTGTTGGAAGTGTGTCAGGCTATTTAAAAAGAGAAAAATAATAAATTGTACAAGACAAGACAAAATTTACGTGGTTCGATAATTTTTGCCTACTCCGCGATCACACAAAGAATAACTCTTTATTGATATTGAGAGAGAAAGAAGAATGTTGTGAGTATGATTTACAATGGCTAATTAACATACTTTGATCTAATTAGCTCCATATTGATCTTTTAGACTTATTTTTGAAAGAAAACTAAAATTAGAATATAATCCTCTAATTGCAATACCATGGAATAAAATGATTTGATTTGTTTTCACATGTCTATATTATCTTGTTCATAGAAAAATGTTAGACAATTCCTGCAACTGAAAAATATTTTTTAAGAATGAAATTAATAAAATCTTACCTAAAATAAATAATATCTTAAGGATGTTGGAATAGATTGGTCATGTTATCAATAAGGAAAAGAATGTTAGAAGAAGTTGATTTTAAAAAATAAGTAACGTCTTTAAATCTAAAAAGCTAGAAGAATAAAATTCAAATAACAATGTGTATAATTATATTCTATTTAATAATTCCAAGGCCTCTAATAAGAGATATAGCTTTAGGCGACGTACATCATTGCGCCGCCCCTGTATGTTGGTTTAATTCATTGTGGATTTGAATGGTTGAATGGCGGTTAATGATGGTTCGCTTGGTAAGGGTGTTGACGGTTGTCAGTCACGAATTGTGACGATTCGATAGGTTGTTTTGAGTATTAGCCTTTATTTCTGAGTTCTGAGACCTCCATTAGCTTCATTTGATATTTTTTTATTTGTGTGCGTAGTCCGTGTCTTTTTTCCGAAAAGTTTTTACGTAAATTTTGAAGAAAAAGTAAATTTTGGTTTAAAATAGAACTTGAGTTGACCACGGTCAATATTCTTGGTAAACGACTTCTAATCGGTATTTTGACAATCCTGATATGTTCGTATGATGTTTTTGGACTTATACGCTCTTTTGGTTAAGGTTCGGAGTGACCCGAGCACATTTTGGCGTGTTATATGAAAAATTATAAAAATGATTTTTCAAATTGAAGATCATGAGTTTTGATGATCGATTCTTGTTATTTGATGTTATTTTGATGACTTGAGGTAGCGAACAAGTTTATATGATGTTATTACACTTGTGTGCATGTCTCGTTTGGAGCCCGGGGAGCTCGGATGAGTTCAGGTGTGTATCCGATGAGTTTTGGATGATATGAGTTAGTTGGTGTGCTTCAGTTCTGGCGTTGATATGCAAATCTCGCATTTGTGAGGTGTGATGATCCAGAATGTCATATTTAATTTAAACATTCATTTCAGTGTTCGGTGACCTCGAAAAGCACTATTCATCATTCCTCGACTTGCGTGCACAATCCGTATAATTTTTCGGAAAGTTTTTATATGAAAATTGATTAAAATGCGTAATAGAGCTTTAAAACTCAACTGAGTTGATTTCGGTCAACATTTTAAGCAAACAGATCCGGATCAATATTTTGACTATTCCGGTAGGTCCGTATCGTGATTTGGGACTTGGGCGTATGCCCGGAATCGAATTCAGAGGTCCCTAGATCAAGTTATAGCCATTTAACGGAAACTAAAAATCTTAAGGCTAAAGGTTTTCAAAGTTTGATCGTGGAGTTGACTCTATTGATATCGGACTCGGATTGAGATTTCAAAAATTGAAATAGCTCTTTTATGTCATTTATGACTTGTGTGCCAAATTTGAAATCATTCCGGATTCATTTAATATGTTTCGGCACTCTGATGTTGTTCTTGAATTTTTGGAAGTGCGGGGACACATGCACTGATTCTCTAATTTTTTTCACAATACATGTGCGCATCAATTCCTCTCAAAATAGATTTTTACTCTCTACTTACCATCAATTTGGGGTTCACATGTTTTGAATTTTTCTGGCTTCTACTCCAAGATAATCACTTAGGCGAAAATATAGATTCACTCATACATAAAAAAAATAAAAAATAAAAGAGAGAGNACAAAGAACTATAGTATTGGTTTTTATATATATATATATATATATATATATATATATATGGAAACTTTTCTTTTCTGAATTTGGGTTCTTGTTCATTCGTAGATAAAAGAAAAAAAAGATTTCAATTCTTCTTAGTTTCAATTTGATTCCAAATTCGAAAATACACAAATATTTTCAAGTTTCCTCTCTGATATTTTGGGTTCCGAAAACATGGAGATTAGCTAAGGTCCGTTGACTGCTCATGAGGTTCAAGTTCGTGGTTCTGAATCCATTTTTATTGATGTCTTGCTTGTTTGTTGCTGGACATTCGAATTCCGGCGCCGGATTTGCTTGTAATAGCTTCCGAACAGAAGTAATCGAAAAACTCTTATATTTAGATTTGTGGATTTCGGACACGAATTCGCGAGGCAAAGGTTTATTGGAATCTTGAATTTGGTTGCAAAGCGAGGTAAGTGTCGTGGTTAACCTTGACTTGAGAGAATATGACTTATTTGTCTATTTGCTACATAATTTAATGTGCGAGTACAACGTATATGTGAGGTGAAGAGTACTTATGCGTTGTGGTTGAGTCAAAGCATACAGGTGAAATTTGTTTATCGATAATAATTGCCTATTTAATTAAGATATTCCCGCTTAAGTTTATTATTGATTATTTGATCATTATTCATGAAATTATTATTCATTTAATTATTGTTGAATATTTTGGAAGGTGAAGTCAGTATTCTGGTATTGAATTGATTGATAAGTGTATATCCCTGCATTTAAATACTCTTCCGAATTTATATTATTATTTTCATGGTAAGGAAGAGTGTAAAAGCAAGAAGGGTGTTGTTGTACCATTTGTGAGTGTAAAAGCACGAAGGGTGATGCCGTGTCAATTTCAGAGATTGTAAAAGCACGAAGGGTGATACTGTGCCAAAAGAGAGTTAAAGCACGAAGGGTGATGCCGTGCCAATTATTATTATTATTTATTTATCAGTTTATGAAAGGAATGAGAGTAAAAGCATGAAGGGTGGTGCCGTGCCATTTTTATATTATCAATTGCTAATTTTATTGTTGATGAATTAATTAGCTGCTATGTGACACTTCTCCTGCTAAAATTTCTATATCACTCCCCTTCGCATGTTCCCTCCCAAATTTATAAATTATTATTTATTGTGTTATTGTTGTTTCGTATTTGTATATACTTGTACAGGTTATTTACGTACGTGTCCTGTCATAGCCTCGTCACTACTTCGTCGAGGTTAGGCTCGACACTTACGGAGTAGACAGGGTCGGTTGTACTCATACTACATTCTGCACATCTTGTGCACATTTTGAA